CAGAAAGCTGATACTCTAAGGAACACTCATCTGGGGGAGGAGGGGGGAGCTCTTGGGTAAGTTTCTACAGGGCCGAGAGGTGGACTTGGGGGTCTTCAGCCCCTCTTCTGGTCTGGGCTGCCTGGGAGGGCCCAGGTTGCCTGGTGCCTCTACCCCACTTTGGGGACCTTTTGATACTATAAATATATATCTGTGTATTTTATTCTGTGTGGTGCTGAGGCCTGTGATTCATTGGGGGTTTCTGGTGTTCCGGTGTAGGAGGAGACAGGAGCCCAGGAGCCCAGAGGTGAGTGCTGGAGCCCTGAAGCCCGGGCCTGGGCTCTGCTCTCTCGGCCCTGCAGCCACTCTCCCCTGCCCCAGGCAGAGCCACAGCCTGGCTCCATGCCATCCCCACTGTACTTCTGTGCAGCCAGGGTGGGCAGTGCTGGTCCCGATCCTGGCCAGGACGGACCCCCATCCAGACTGGCCCCTATTCCTGAGCAGGAGCCTGTGTGGTATGTGTGTGACTCAGGGAAGTCTCCCACCAGCTCCTCTGAGACAAGGTCACAGGGTCACAGGAGTTTTATTAAATTAGGAAGACGGGCCTCAGGGTACTCTTGGCCCCTGTGCATAGCCCTCCAGAGGTAGGCCCTGTCTTGCACAGGGAAGCTGCCCTCCCAAGGCACTGCTGGGTCATTTCCTCCAAGAAGACAAGGCCCTGGCAAGTGGAGGAGATAATGAGCTGTTCAGAGATGGATTTGGGACTCCCTGGGAAGATGCCAGACACCACATTCCCGCCTCTGCCTAGTCTCATTACCGGCCTCTCCCCAGGGGCCCAGCGGGCAGACAGGCTGACCTCTCAGCCTCAGTCTCAAACACTGGGGCTAGGCAGAGAGATGGAAGATGGGTCACATGACCTCTGACTCATGTGATTCAGCTCCATGGGGAGGCCTGGGTTTGGGTAGGAATCTTGGGAACCTGGACTCCAGGTTCCTTGTTCCTTGCGAGTGGGAGGTGGATGCCAGGAGACTGGAATGGGTCCACAGCTGGGGCTAAGCCCCTTGAGTCTTGGACTCTTATCTTGCCCCCGGTGGGCATCTCCAGGCCAGGCTGACTATTCCACTTACAGCCAGGACAGACCCTTGTCCAGGTGCTCAGGGGCTGGAATCTTCCCTGGATCTGACCTTGGACTGAGGCTCAGAGAGAGGATGGATGAGACTGGAGTCTGCCCTTTTCTAAGTTGCCAATGTCTCTGCCCTGGCCGAGGGGCCTGGCTGCAGTGACTGCATGGGGCCACCAGGGAGCAGCCACAGCTCAACATTGGGTCTCAGAACAGGCTTGGTAGGTAGGTCTCTAGTGTGACCATCCTGGCCCAGGCCTTGCTCTTTCGGAGTGTGGGGTGGGACCTGTCTCTAACTTTGACTCCCAGACTGGTGATATTCTGGGAGGCAGCACAGTGTAGGGATGTGTGTTGGACTCCTGGGATCTAGAAGGCAGGAGGCGGAGGAGGGAACAGCCCTTTACCAAGCACCTGTTGTGTTTCAGCGCCTGTGCTCTATGCACTATCTCCTGGCAGAGGAAGGAAGAAATTAAGGCTCAGAGAGGGGAGGCAACTGGTCCAAGGTCACACAGCTCTCCTGGGTCTGGGCTGAGGTCCATTTCCACTGCCCTGCTTTGGAGTGGTCTCCCTCCTGCACTCCTCTCCTTATTCCAACTCTGCTCTCTCTCATAAGTGGCCCCACTTGTTCTCTGGGGAAGAGGATCTGAACTGTCAGGAGTTTAATGTACTTTTTCTTGGAATCGCGAGCCATTAGGGCCTCAACCTTAATTATGGCAATGACAGCAGTGTTGGGTGGATTAGGAAACTCTGCTGGTCTTTGTCACAAGGATTCCTAGAAATGGGACGTCTTGAGAGGTTTGTCCACATATTATTTGAGGTTGGGTTGGGGGTGGTGGCTGAGGAGTTCAAAGCTAGACCTGCTGAGGGGAGGGGAGCAGCTCCTGAAGAGGGAGGGCCTCTTATAAAAGAAGGTACCTCTGAACTGGCCTTGAAGACCGGTGCACATGGGGTAGGTGGGACTTGGAGTGGGGATGGGTTGAATTGTTGGGGGAGGAGGACAGCCTTCA